GCCAGGGCCCACAGCTGCCCTGAGTCCCAGGACAGCACCAGGCAAATGGGGGCTCTGTGGTCTGGGGGAGGCCCCACGTCCTCGTGATCTGGGGTCTGATGAGCTCACGAACCTGGCATTTCTCATGTGGCCACTGCACCCTGTGGCCCTGATTTAACCTGAGGGCTCCCTAGAGCAAATTTAGTAGTACAAGTAAGTGATCTGCTGGCCTGTGCTGTGCAGCTGGGGGCTGTGCTTGGGGTGAGTTCCGTGTGCCCAGCACCTGGCAGTTTCTACTCACACAGAACATGTGCCAGATCGTGGCCCACACCTGTGTTCCCAGCACTCAGGAGGCTGAGGCAGGAAGACTTCTGCCATTTCCAAACCAGCTTGGGGTACATAGTGAGACCCTGACTCAAAAATAAAAAAACAAACAAGCAAAGCTCACAATAACAATAACCACACACGTGAAACAACCAAAAGGCCCCTAGCAGGAAACGGTTTACAAAGGGGCCGGTCAACGGTGTGTACTCTGCATGGCAAATAATCAATGAACACACACTCAAAGGTCAATGAAAAATAAAGACATTTCAGGCATTTGGGGGCTGTGTGTGTTTGGCTAGGAAATATGTACACCTGTGTTAATTTTACTGCTGCAATTAACAAGCCATAAAACCTTTCTTTCAAAGTGGGATCACAAGACTGCTGCTGCTGTCCTTACCTAACCCTTGAGGTTTTCATTACCCTCAAACAAAGCCCCCATTCGCAGTCACTCTGCATTTCTCCTCTTCTCCAGTCCCTGGCAACCCTAAGCCACTTTCTCTCCTGCAGATTTGTATCTGCTGAAGATTTCAGATGAACAAAATCACGAGTCCTTCGTGTCTGTCTGGCCGCTCTCACTTAGTAGCGCTGTCAAGGTCCATCCAAGCTGTGCCATGTGCCTACTTCTTCCTGTTCATGTCTGCAGGATTTCCATGGTGTCCGCATTTATTCCCTCATCCATCCAGCGATGATCATTTGGATGGAGCTCTGCTCCTCACTACGCGTGGAGCTGCTGTGAACATCTGGGGACAGTATGTGCATGGACCACGCTCTGCCCTTCAGGCGCACACCTAAGGAGGACTTGCTGGGCTCCACGGTCCCTTGGGTTTCTGAGTTTTAGGAACCGGCAGACTTTTCCACAGGCTGCACTATTTCACATCCCACCAGCAAGGCCGGGCTCTGGCTTCTCTGTCTTTGCTGGTGCTTCCTTTCCTCCGGCATCCTGGGAGTGGAGTGGGGTCCCACCGTGGCTTCAGTCTGCATCCTGAGCAACATTCAGTCTGTGCCTGTGCTTGTCTACGTCATCTGTGTGCCGAATGTCTGTCCAGGTCCTTGCCCTGCTTATTACACAGTCGCCTAGCAGTTCGAGTTGTCTGTTTAATCTGTGTGCCGAATGTCTGTCCAGGTCCTTGCCCTGCTTATTACACAGTCACCTAGCAGTTCGAGTTGTCTGTTTACTGTGCGCAAGGATGTGGCCCTAGAAAATGAAGGTATAAAGCCCAGCAGAAGAGGGAAGACAGAAGGCACTGCCTGGGGCAGCAGGGTGGGGACCAAGCCCCGA